TGCCTCAACTGAATTAATGCAACCATACTACAATATTAGCAAGATAGTTTCACTGATTTACTGTTGAACTAGCTAGAAGAAGCCTTATGTGTTATTCGAATATGCCTGTTAAAATCTCTCACTGTTGAAGTAGCAAGAAGAAGCCTTATGTATTATTCGTATATGCCTGTTAAAATCTCTTACTGTTGAACTAGCTAGAAGAAGCCTCATGTGTCATTCGAATATGCCTGTTAAAATCTCTTACTGTTGAACTAGCTAGAAGAAGCCTCATGTGTCATTTGAATATGCCTGTTAAAATCTCTTACTGTTGAACTAGCTAGAAGAAGCCTCATGTGTCATTCGAATATGCCTGTTAAAATCTCTTACTGTTGAACTAGCTAGAAGAAGCCTTATCTGTTATTCGAATATGCCTGTTAAAATTCTCTTACTGTTGAACTAGTTATAATGAGCCAATTGGAGTAAAGTGCCATGCAGATTTAAATTTTTCCCACTTGTGACGAATGCAGCTATCGATTTTTTTGCATGCTAGCATACTGGTTAACATTCGTGTCAGTCAGCTGCTGGTTCTCACGCTGGCCAATAGAATCTTCCTGCCTATTTGTGGCAGCCAGCTATAGGCTATCACTCTGGCCAGTACAAAATGACCGTAAACTACATGAAAACTGCCGTAGAAGCATGAAAAAATCGATTATTTCCACTATTAATGGGAGTTGGGAAATGCAAAGTCGGTTTTGGCCTTCCCGCCAACTTGGAGCATATGCATGTAAATTTTGGTGCAAATCCGTCGAAAATTGCGGCCATGCATTCGTTACACACACACACACATCCTGCCTTTTATAGATAGAGATAAGGTGAAGAAAGAGACTTGAAGTGACAAAGCTGTGGTTTTACTGAGAAATCTTAGAAAAAAATAAAAGTGTTTTATAATGCTATGTAGTTGAGATCCATAGACATATTGGGATGGCCAAGGACGCATTCCTAAAGCTGGGCAGAGTATTGCGAGACAGGAGAATTTCTTTGGTAACAACGAAAAGAATACTGAGGCTGTTACGTGACATCTGTCCTTCTTTACGGCAGCGAATGTTGGACGTTTGGACAAAGATGAAGAAGAGACTCGAGGTGATGGAGATGTGCTTCTACAGAAGGTTTGGTTTGGTTTATTTTGTTTTACGGCATATCAACCTCAATGGGACGCCGACAAAATGTTTATTGCTGGTAATATGTTTTCCTTCAAAAATCTATTTCTGGGAATATTTTTCTTTGAAGTAATCTATGGCTGATCATATTTTTTTGAAAAAATGTATAGCTGTTTGTATTGCTGGGATTTTTTTCTTTATTTATTACTGACTAGCAGTAGAGCCCGGCGTTGCCCGGGAAGGTAACAGTAATAGATAGATCAAGTATCGACCATTATAAAGACTGAAAAATAAAATTGACAAAGATTATTGTTTAAGGTTGACGAACACGCATGTCTTAATTTTTTTTTTTTTTTTTTACGAATTGGTCAAATCAAACTCAAACAAAAACATTGTTTTCAATCGTCATGAGTCTACCGATTGAATAGAATTTTATTATAAACAAAAAAGTGTGCAAGACAATAAGAAACACTATCTGCCAAAAAAAGTAAAGTTTTGTTGAAATCGGTTGAAAAATGTAGGAAATCTGATCCCATATATAAACGAACACAGACACACACACACACAAACAACTTGGGTTTATAATAAGTATAACTCGATATGAGTGGTCCCCCTTTCATTCTGGCAACTTAATCGTGTTTTCAAATTGATTTCGTGCAAAAACAATTGTGTTTTTTTTTCAATTTTGGGCGCTGTCAGAACCACCGCAAGGTAATTTTACGTAGTCCTGTGAAGTTTTGTTGAAATCGGTTGAAAAATGTAGGAAATCCGATCCAATATATAAACGAACAGACACACAAACACACACAAACAAACACACAACCTGAGTTTTATAATAAGTATGATAACAATTTTCCCTCAAAAATTATTGCTGTAATAATTTTTTTTTATTACAAAGTATTTTTAGTATTTTACACAAGTTTGGGTGTTAACTATTTGCCCATAGCTGGGACCCTGACAGTGGGTGGACCTGGGAACACCAACAATTAAGAGGTAGTTCCACGCTCCTCAAAACCTCCTGATCAGATGCCTTGCTGTTGGACGTAGTTTATCGTTTTACCCAGGACGCGGATGTAGTTTAACGCCCTACCCAGGACGTCTTCTACAGAAGGATGCTAAGGATATCATGGACCGAGCGTGTGAGCAACGATGTGGTCTTAAAGGGGTTGCAAACAAAGAGGAGGCTTTTACTTAACATCAGGAAGAGACAGCTGAAATTTCTAGATCACATAATGAGGAAGGAGGGCCTGGAGAATCTGATACTCACGGGTCGAATAGAGGGAAAGAGAGACAAGGGAAAACAACGCATGACATATCTAGCGGGCTTAAGCAAGGGGATAACAGAACGTGGTCTGGGGGAGAAAGCAGAGGGAAGGAACTTGTCGAAAGCAGCAAATGATAGAGGGAGGTAGAGGGACATGATCGCTTACGTCCTGAAAGGCCATAGCACATAAAAAGAAAGAAGGAATATATAATTTCCTATAAGAATGTGAATTTTGGACATTGTCAACAAACGAAGAAGAAATGTGTTTCTACCGATGAATGTTATTAAATACAAAGAATTGGTGCGTGAACTGCTATGTAATATCTATTCTCCTATAAGCACGTGAGTCCAGGAAGAAAAGATTCAAAATGGCAGACATATGGTTCTACCTACGAATGTCATTACAAAGAACAGAGTGTTGTATTGCTGTGTATTATCTCATTTCCCATATAGCGAAGAATGCTAGATACTCCGCTCACCTATGAAAAAGAAACTTGAAGCGACATTTTAACCATCCTATGCTCAGCATAGGATGGTTAAAATATGTGAGCAACAACAGGAAGTCTTCGGGAAGCATGAACTCCGAGGAAACTTATACTTACAATCGGGAAGAGACACCTAGAATTTCTGTGACATATACAGGTGCCATGGGTAAATTATTACCATTTTATATTTTTCATTTCGCACATGCGCGTTGTCTTTGATTTTGTCGACTGCACACTATAGTAGGGTCAGTTGCTCACCGTCTGTAAGAAAAAGAACACCATGATGCAATTCACTCCGCTAGGAATTTGGAAACGGCAAAGCTGTACTGCTTGGCTTTCGCGCCGGAAGCTCGAATATGAACAGAGTGTTTTGGCGTAATCTGCAGACAGTGCAGAGAATTCGGAAAGAGTTGGATGAGTCTAATGGTGATTACGGAAGTATTTGGAGTGGTCACTAGTGATGGCGACGTTCTGCCTCAATTCATTTTCCCACATGGCTTCACTCAATGCGGAGGCTCACATCAAGTGCTTTGAGGAGGTAGTGTTGCCCTAGGTCAAGAGGGTGGCTGCTGGAAGACCGTATGTCTGGCAACAGGGTTTGCACCATGTCACACAAGGTGGTGAACCCAATCAAGGCTGTCAGGCAAATTCTGCGACTACATCACATCTGGCCACCTAACTCCCCAGACAGCACCACTTGATTATTATGTGTGGGGACAGTTGAGCGTAAGACTAAAAAAACTCCTTGTAACTCCAAAGATGAACTGGAGGCAAGGATTATGGCAGCATTACACGAATTTAAACAAGATGACTATCCAGAAGCGATGAAGGAGATTACACTGTCTTCTGGGTGTGGTGTTTGTAGCCTATGGCGATTTTATTGAATAAATTTACTCTTTAGTATTTCATATTCTTGTGTAATTTTGGTAAATATATCTGTTAAAATGAGAAGTCAGTGTTATTTTCATTTCTGCGTCATTTAGACGACAATTCATCCATCGCACCCTGTATATTTGTTAAAATGAGATGTCAGTGTTATTTTCATTTTGGCGTCATTTAGACGACAGTTTATCCATCGCACCCTCTAAAATATTTTATTTTCATAAAATCCATCGAGGTCTCAGTGTTATTTTCATTTGGACGACAATTTATCCATCGCCATTTATTTATAAAATGAAATGCGATTTCAGTTTATCCATCGCACCCCTATATTTGTTAAAATGTCAGTGTTTCATTTTCGCCATTTAGACGCCATTTGGACGACAATTTATCCATCGACACCCTGTACGACAATTTATTAAAATGAAATGCCAGTGTTATTTTCATTTTGGCGCCATTTAGACGACAATTTATCCATCGCACCCTGTATATTTGTTAAAATGAGATGCCAGTGTTATTTTCATTCTTGCGTCATTTAGACGACAATTTTTCCTTCGCACCCTGTATATTTGTTAAAATGAGATGCCAGTTTTATTTTCATTCTTGCGTTATTTAGACGACAATTCATCCATCGCACCAGGCATAATCCGAAAAAGTGGTTGAGGCTGAATTTCAATTTCTCGCTCTGCTTTTAATCTGCAAAGTGTCTTTTTTTTTTTTTTTTTCGAAATAATCCCGTGTGCTGCCCATTTGGAAATCGGTGTTACGCTTTCTGAGGACGGCGTGCGCAGGAGCGAAACCTCGTTGGGCTAACTGCACAGAGGAAAAGAGAAGACATGCATTTGCAGGAATCAGATGGTCACACAAAAGCGCCTCTGCGTGCCGTACAATCAACAGCTATTGTTCTTTGCCTCGACACTAAACAATCCACCCAAACAACAGCAACAAACAAAAAACATTTTTATGCAATCTTTCTTGTTTCTTTGTTGGATTTTGTGACGAGAACGGCTTTGAAAATAATTTTCCTTTGCTTTCTGTTCATATTTCATGATGATGAGCCGGGACATGCGCAGAGGATGAGACAACTAACAACACCAATAAAAATAATTATTAGAGATGAGGGCAGCAGCAGTAGCAGCAATGATGATAGCAAGAAAGAGAAAGAGGGGGATAGGAAAAAGTATTAAAGAACAAGAACCTCTGCAATATGAGTAACATGGATAAAAAAAAATAAAATTAATAGAGGAAAAAGAAGACTGGTGGAAAAGAGAAAGATGAAGGCAAGTGTATAGATATTACGAAAATAAAAAGAAAGAAAGAAAAAGGAAAGAAAGAAAGTAGACGAAGGAGTATAAGAAAAAAAAAGACTTCATTGAATAGGTGAATGAAAGTCAATGAAGAATGGAGGGAAAGAAGAAAAAAGGCAATGATTGCATAAGTATTAGGGAAAGAAGAAGAAGAAGAAGAAGAAGAAATAAATGTATAAGTTGTATGAAAAAAAAGAAAACGATGAAATCGTAGATAGAAAAGGGACAGTAAAAGAAGAAAAATGAAGAAGACGAAGAGGTGAAGGATGAGGAAGAAGAATGATGAATGAAGAAGAAGGAAAATGTAGATGAAAAAAATGAAGAAGACGAAGAATGAAGAAGACGAAGAATGAATGAGAAGAATGAAAAATACGAAGAATGAAGGAGAAAAATGAAGAATACGAAGAATGAAGAAGTCGAAGAATGAATAAGAAGAATGAAAAATACGAAGAATGAAGAAGAAAAATGAAGAATACAAATAATGAAGAAGACGAAGAATGAATGAGAAGAATGAAAAATACGAAGAATGAAAAAGAAAAATGAAGAATACGAAGAATGAAAAAGACGAAGAATGAATAAGAAGAATGAAAAATACGAAGAATGAAGAAGAAAAATGAAGAATACGAAGAATGAAGAAGTCGAAGAATGAATAAGAAGAATGAAAAATACGAAGAATGAAGGAGAAAAATGAAGAATACAAAGAATGAAAAAGACGAAGAATGAATAAGAAGAATGAAAAATACGAAGAATGAAGAAGAAAAATGAAGAGTACGAAGAATAAAGAAGACGAAGAATGAATAAGAAGAATGAAAAATACGAAGAATGAAGAAGACGAAGAATGAATAAGAAGAATGAAAAATACGAAGAATGAAGAAGACGAAGAATGAATAAGAAGAATGAAAAATACGAAGAATGAAGGAGAAAAATGAAGAATACGAAGAATGAATAAGACGAAGAATGAATAAGAATGAAAAATACGAAGAATGAAGAAGAAAAAATGAAGAAGACGAAGAATGAAGAAGACGAAGAATGAATAAGAATGAAAAATACGAAGAATGAAGGAGAAAAATGAAGAATAGGAAGAATGAAAAAGACGAAGAATGAAAGAAGAAGAATGAAAAATACGAAGAATGATAAAGAAAAATGAAGACGAAGAATGAAGAAGACGAAGAATGAATAAGAAGAATGAAAAATACGAAGAATGAAGGAAAAATGAAGAATAAGAAGAATGAAAAAGACGAAGAAAGAAAAAATAAGAATACGAAGAATGAAAAAGACGAAGAATGAAGAATGAAAAATACAGAAGAAGAAGAAAGAAAAATGAAGAAGACGAAGAAGAACAGGAAGAAGACGAAGAATGAATAAGAAGAATGAAAAATACGAAGAATGAAGAAAACGAAGAATGAATAAGAAGAATGAAAAATACGAAGAATGAAGGAGAAAAATGAAGAATACGAAGAATGAAAAAGACGAAGAATGAATAAGAAGAATGAAAAATACGAAGAATGAAGAAGAAAAAGGAAGAATACGAAGAATGAAAAAGACGAAGAATGAATAAGAAGAATAAAAAATACGAAGAATGAAGAAGAAAAATGAAGAATACGAAGAATGAAAAAGACGAAGAATGAATAAGAAGAATGAAAAATACGAAGAATGAAGAAGAAAAATGAAGAAGACGAAGAATGAAGAAGACGAAGAATGAATAAGAAGAATGAAAAATACGAAGAATGAAAAAGACGAAGAATGAATAAGAAGAATGAAAAATGCGAAGAATGAAGAAGAAAAATGAAGAATACGAAGAATGAAAAAGACGAAGAATGAATAAGAAGAATGAAAAATACGAAGAATGAAGAAAACGAAGAATGAATAAGAAGAATGAAAAATACGAAGAATGAAGAAGAAAAATAAAGAATACGAAGAATGAAAAAGACGAAGAATGAATAAGAAGAATGAAAAATACGAAGAATGCAGGAGAAAAATGAAGAATACGAAGAATGAAAAAGACGAAGAATGAATAAGAAGAATGAAAAATACGAAGAATGACGAAGAAAAATGAAGAAGACGAAGAATGAAGAAGACGAAAAATGAATAAGAAAATTGAAATATACGAAGAATGAAGAAAACGAAGAATGAAAAAGACGAAGAATGAATAAGAAGAATGAAAAATACGAAGAATGAAGAAGAAAAATGAAGAATACGAAGAATGAAAAAGACGAAGAATGAATAAGAAGAATGAAAAATACGAAGAATGATAAAGAAAAATGAAGGAGACGAAGAATGAAGAAGACGAAGAATGAATAAGAAGAATGAAAAATACGAAGAATGAAGGAGAAAAATGAAGAATACGAAGAATAAAGAAGACGAAGAATGAATAAGAAGAATGAAAAATACGAAGAATGAAGAAGACGAAGAATGAATAAGAAGAATGAAGAATACGAAGAATGAATAAGACGAAGAATGAATAAGAAGAATGAAAAACACGAAGAATGAAGAAGAAAAATGAAGAAGACGAAGAATGAAGAAGACGAAGAATGAATAAGAAGAATGAAAAAAACGAAGAATGAAGGAGAAAAATGAAGAATACGAAGAATGAAGAAGACGAAGAATGAATAAGAAGAATGAAAAATACGAAGAATGAAGAAAACGAAGAATGAATAAGAAGAATGAAAAATACGAAGAATGAAGGAGAAAAATGAAGAATACGAAGAATGAAAAAGACGAAGAATGAATAAGAAGAATGAAAAATACGAAGAATGAAGAAGTAGAATGAATAAGAAGAATGAAAAATACGAAGAATGAAGAAGAAAAAGGAAGACTACGAAGAATGAAAAAGACGAAGAATGAATAAGAAGAATGAAAAATACGAAGAATGAAGAAGAAAATGAAGAATACGAAGAATGAAAAAGACGAAGAATGAATAAGAAGAATGAAAAATACGAAGAATGAAGAAGAAGAATGAATAAGAAGAATGAAAAATACGAAGAATGAAAAAGAAAAAGGAAGAATACGAAGAATGAAAAAGACGAAGAATGAATAAGAAGAATGAAAAATACGAAGAATGAAGCAGAAAAATGAAGAATACGAAGAATGAAAAAGACGAAGAATAAATAAGAAGAATGAAAAATACGTAGAATGAAGAAAACGAAGAATGAATAAGAAGAATGAAAAATACGAAGAATGAAGGAGAAAAATGAAGAATACGAAGAATGAAAAAAGACAAATTAGAAATGAATGAAGAATGAAAAATACGAAGAATGAAGAAGAAAAATGAAGAAGACGAAGAATGAAGAAGACGAAGAATGAATAAGAAGAATGAAAAATACGAAGAATGAAGAAAACGAAGAATGAATAAGAAGAATGAAAAATACGAAGAATGAAGGAGAAAAATGAAGAATACGAAGAATGAAAAAGACGAAGAATGAATAAGAAGAATGAAAAAAAACGAAGAATGAAGAAAAAGAATGAATAAGAAGAATGAAAAAATACGAAGAATGAAGAAGAAAAAATGAAGAATACGAAGAATGAAAAAGACGAAGAATGAATAAGAAGAATGAAAAATAAAGAATGACAAAGAAGAAAAAAGGAGAGAAGAATGAAGAAGACGAAGAATGAATAAGAAGAATGAAAAAGACGAAGAATGAATAAGAAAAATGAAGAATACGAAGAATAAAGAAGACGAGAATGAATAAGAAAGAAGAAAATGAAAATACGAAGAATGAATAAGAAAAATGAAAGAATACGAAGAATGAAGAATAAGACGAAGAATGAATAAAGAAGAATGAAAAACACGAAGAATGAAGAAGAAAAATGAAGAAACGAAAGAATGAAAAAGACGAAGAATGAATAAGAAGAATGAAAAAGACAGAAAAAAGGAAAAATGAAGAATGAAGAATGAAGAAGACGAAGAATGAATAAATAAGGAAAAATGAAAATACGAAGAATGAAGAAAACGAAGAATGAATAAGAAGAATGAAAAATACGAAGAATGAAGGGGAGAAAAATGAAGAATACGAAGAATGAAAAAAAGACAGAAGAATGAATAAGAAGAATGAAAAATACGAAGAATGAAGAAGAAGAATGAATAAAAGAATGAAAAAAATGAAGAAAAAAAAAAGAAAAAAGGAAGAAATACGAAGAATGAAAAAGACGAAGAATGAATAAGAAGAAAATGAAAAAAGAATGAAGAATGAAGAAAAATGAAGAATAATAAGAATGAAAAAGACAGAAGGATAAATAAGAAGAATGAAAAATACGAAGAATGAAAGAAAACAGAAGAATAAATAAGAAGAATGAAAAAATACGAAGAATGAAGGAAAAAAAAAGAAGAATACGAAGAATGAAAAGAGACAGAAGAATGAAGAAGAAGAAAGAATAATAAGAAGAATGAAAAATACAAGAATGAAGAAAACGAAGAATGAATAAGAAGAATGAAAAATACGAAGAAGAAGAAGAAAAAAATGAAGAAGACGAAGAATGAAAAAAGACGAAGAATGAATAAGAAGAATGAAAAATACGAAGAATGAAGAAGACAGAAGAATGAATAAGAAGAATGAAAAATGAAACGAAGAAGGAAAAAGAAAATGAAAGAATAAGAAGAATGAAAAAGAAGAAGAATGAATAAGAAGAATGAAAATACGAAGAATGAAGAAGAAAAAAGGAAGAATACGAAGAATGAAAAAGACAGAAGAATGAATAAGAAGAATGAAAAAATAAAGAAGAATGAAGAAGAAAAAAGAAGAATAAGAAGAATGAAAAAGACGAAGAATGAATAAGAAGAATGAAAAATACGAAGAATGAAGAAGAATGAATAAATGAAGAAGAATGAAAAATAAGAAGAATGAAAAAAAAAGGAAGAATACGAAGAATGAAAAAAGACGAAGAATGAATAAGAAGAATGAAAAAGAAGAAGAAGAAGAAGAAAAATGGAAGAATACGAAGAATGAAAAAGAAGAAGAATAAATAAGAAGAATGAAAAAGACAGAATGAAGAAAAAAAGAATGAATAAGAAGAATGAAAAATACGAAGAATGAAGGAGAAAAATGAAAGAATACGAAGAATGAAAAAGACGAAGAATGAATAAGAAAAATGAAAAAATACGAAGAATGAAAAAGACGAAGAATGAATAAGAAGAATGAAAAAATACGAAGAATGAAGAAGAAAAAAGGAAATACGAAGAATGAAAAAAGACGAAGAATGAATAAGAAGAATGAAAAATACGAAGAATGAAAGAAAAATGAAGAATAGAAGAAAGAATGAAAAAAGACGAAGAATGAATAAGAAAAATGAAAAATACGAAGAATGAAGAAGAAGAAAGAATGAATAAGAAGATGAAAATACAGAAGAATTAAGAAGAATGAAAAAATACGAAGAATACGAAGAATGAATGAAAGAATGAAAAAAACGAAGAATGAAAAAGAAAATGAAAGAATATGAAGAATGAAGAAGAAAAAATGAATAAGAAGAATGAAAAATGAAAGTGAAGAAGAAGAAAAGAACAGAATGAATAAGAAGAATGAAAATAAAATAAGAAGAATTAAGAAGAAAAATGAAGAATACGAAGAATGAAAAAAAGAAGAATGAATAAGAAGAATGAAAAATACGAAGAATGAAGAAGAAAAATGAAGAATACGAAGAATGAAGAAGACGAAGAATGAATAAAGAATGAAAAAAGACGAAGAAGAAGAATGAAGGAGAAAAATGAAAGAATACGAAGAATGAAAAAGACGAAGAATGAATAAGAAGAAATGAAAATTCGAAGAATGAAGGAAGAAAAAATGAAGAATACGAAGAATGAAAAAGACGAAGAATGAATAAGAAGAATGAAAAAATACGAAGAATGAAGGAAAAAAAATGAAGAATACGAAGAATGAAAAAGACAGAAGAAGAATAAAGAACAATGAAAAATACGAAGAATGAAGAAGAAAAATGAAGAATACGAAGAATGAAGAAGACGAAGAATGAATAAGAAGAATGAAAAATACGAAGAATGAAGGAGAAAAATGAAGAATACGAAGAATGAAAAAGACGAAGAATGAATAAGAAGAATGAAAAATACGAAGAATGAAGGAGAAAAATGAAGAATACGAAGAATGAAAAAGACGAAGAATGAATAAGAAGAATGAAAAATACGAAGAATGAAGAAAACGAAGAATGAATAAGAAGAATGAAAAATACGAAGAATGAATGAAGAAAAAAATGAAGAATACGAAGAATGAAAAAAAGACGAAGAATGAATAAGAAGAATGAAAAATACGAAAGAATGAAGAAGAAAAATGAAGAAGACGAAGAATGAAGAAGACGAAGAATGAATAAGAATAATGAAAAATACGAAGAATGAAGAAAACGAAGAATGAATAAGAAGAATGAACAATACGAAGAATGAAGGAGAAAAATGAAGAATACGAAGAATGAAAAAGACGAAGAATGAATAAGAAGAATGAAAAATACGAAGAATGAAGAAAACGAAGAATGAATATAAGAATGAAAAATACATAAGAATGAAGGAGAAAAATGAAGAATACGAAGAATGAAAAAGACGAAGAATGAATAAGAAGAATGAAAAATACGAAGAATGAAGAAGAAAAATGAAGAATACGAAGAATGAAGAAAACGAAGAATGAATAAGAAGAATGAAAAATACGAAGAATGAAGAAGAAAAATGAAGAATACGAAGAATGAAGAAGACGAAGAATGAATAAAAAGAATGAGTATGTCGAATGAAGAAAATGATGAAGAATGAAGAATCTGAAAAATGTAACATGAAGACGAAAAATGAAAAAGTAAAGAAGTATTGAATGAAGAGCTATTAGCAGATCGCATATCCCGCAGAAAGAAAATAATAATAATAATAATAAATGCATTGATTTTTGCAGAAGGATTCTGAGAAAAACATGGGCAGACCATGTGATCAACGATGAAGTTTTAGAGAAAATTGAAACAAAAAGAACACTTATACTTTACATCATGAAGAGATTCTATGGCATATAATGAGGAAAGAGTGCTCGGAAAATTTGACACTCACTGGGGAGATTGAAGACAAGAGGGACAGAAGAAAAGAATGCATGACCTACTTGAGTAAAATATATTGAATAAATTTGACAAAAAATAATATTTATTAAGAGCTAAAAAACACAGGAAATTGTGGAAAGCCATAATCGCCAACGTCCAGAAGAAAAAAGAAAAGAAGAAGGATTAATCAGCGAAGGAGAAGACGATGGAGAAGAATAAGCATGAAAAAAATGCAAAAGAAAAAAGAAGAAGGATGATGAAGAAGAATAAAGAAAAATGAGGAGAAATAAGCTGAATGAAAAGGAAGAAGACGAAGAATGAAGAATAAGGAAAATGAAGAGGAAGAAGACAAGGAATGAAAGAGAAGAAGAAGAAGAAGAAGAAGAAGAAGAAGAAAGTTTAAAATAAATAATCAGCGAAGAATACGATGAAGAAGAAGCATGAAAAAGAATCAAGAAGAAAAATGAAGGTTAAGAATAATGAATAAGATGATAAATGGAGAAGAAGAAGAAGAGTGAAGAATGAAGAAGAATGGCGGAAAAAAATGAAGAGAAAGAAGAAGACTGAACAGGAAGAAGACGAAGAATGAAAAATGAAGAAGAAAAATGAAGAGGAAGAAGAAAAAATGAAGACGAAGTAGAAAGAAAGAAAGAAAGAAAGAAAGAAAGAAAGAAGTCTAAAAGAAACTTACCGGATGTGGCCGTAAGTCTTTAGCAGTAAAGGTCTGAATTGATGTAGCTAATGAATGTAGCTCGTCTGAGCATTTATCATGGATATAGCGATAGAAAAGCGTATGTTTTGTCTGGAGGAAAGAGATGGTAGGATGGGAAATAATTCATCACCCACAAGGACGTGGAGACGCTTTTGAACGCTATTAACGCTGGAAAGTGAGGTGTGGGCTTCTCCGACCCAGGTATTTCAGGTATGACAGGTTGATTTTTCACTTATTCCTACAAAGTCAACATTGCACTCGAGGTGAAAGCTGGGGTTTCATGCGATAAGTACTGACACCACAAATTAGATCCATAGCTTTTACCAATTCTTGAGAATTTAGTTTTAAATATAGTCCGAAAAATGTACAGAAATACCAAATTTCCGAAAGCTCAGTTCGACATTCCAACCACCTGAGGAAGGCCGGAGCGTACAACGGCCGAAGCGTTGTAATAAATATGGCGACAAAGATGAGGACAATAGTACGAATAATGTAAATAATGTACATAATCCCTGATCTCAGAAATATAGACAGATACTGAAGGGCCAAAACGTTGTAATAAATATGGCGACAAAGATGAGGACAATAGTCCGAATAATGTAAATAGTATACATAATACCTCATCTCATAAATATAGACGGAACTGAAGGGCCGAAACGTTGTAATAAACATGGCGACAAAGATTCGGACAATAGTCCGAATAATATAAATAGTGTACATAATATCTCATCTCATAAATATAGACAGATACTGAAGGGCTGAAACGTTGTAATAAATATGCAACAAAGATGAGTACAATAGTCCGAATAATGTAAATAGTGTACATAATCCCTGATCTCAGAAATATAGACAGATACTGAAGGGCCGAAACGCTGTAATAAATATGGCGACAAAGGTGAGGACAATAGTCCGAATAATATAAATATTGTACATAATATCTCATCTCATAAATATAGACAGATACTGAAGGGCCGAAACGTTGTAATAAATATGTAACAAAGATGAGTACAATAGTCCGAATAGTGTAAATAGTGTACATAATCCCTGATCTCAGAAATATAGACAGATACTGAAGGGCCGAAACGCTGTAATAAATATGGCGACAAAGGTGAGGACAATAGTCCGAATAATATAAATAGTGTACATAATATCTCATCTCATAAATATAGACAGATACTGAAGGGCCGAAACGTTGTAATAAATATGCAACAAAGATGAGTACAATAGTCCGAATAGTGTAAATAGTGTACATAATCCCTGATCTCAGAAATATAGACAGATACTGAAGGGCCGAAACGCTGTAATAAACATGGTGACAAAGATGAGGACAATAGTCAGAATAATGTAAATAGTGTACAAAATATCTCATCTCAGAAATATAGACAGATACTGAATGGAAAATGTATTCAAACCAGAATCCTAATTATAAAATAAGCACAATATTCATTTTTTTTTTTTTTCGATAATTGAAAACTAAGAAATTACAAAAAAGGTTAATAAATGAATAAAATCTTGCACCATTTGTTAGGCCATAATTAATCAAAACGAAAAATAGATAAAGGTGCAGTTGATGAATGCCATTTTTAAAATCTCTTCTTTGGTGTCTGGCTACATTTGAAGAAAAAAAAATTGTGATGGAATTTGAATTTGTAAATTGATATAACTAATAAATTATGAATAACTATTTATTATCAAATAAGCACCAATTTTTACAGTCTCTTCCCTCACCTACAATTTTCTGATTTCAGGTTGAGAAAATAATATTTTCTGGAAGCATAACGAAAGCATTATGCTGTTAATTTCTAAAACAACATTTTGTTTTTCGATCCACTGTTGAATTATTTTCTGGATCATTGCTGAAGGTACACAGTTGTGATTATGGAAATTATTATCTCTTTTAATTTCAAACCAACTAACTGAATTTATTTCAATTATAAATTTTATAAGGCTGTTCTATAAGCCTTTTTCTGATTACCGAAATGAAAATCTAACGCTCTAATTCTGAACATAAACTCATACTTTATTAATTATATCAACTTAAAAGACTAGATTTAAAATATCATTCAAATCCCATCACAATTTTTTTTTCAAAAATAGCGAGCCACCAAAGAGATCGTTTCCTCAAAAACCGATAACGATTTGAAGAATAAAATATTTTATGTCATTTACTTATCAGGTCAAACCCCAACTTTCAAATTGAATGCAATACCACGGTCCAAAATCGACATTTTGTTAATATAACAAAAGGACTCCAATTTTCTCTGTTCTCGCTTTTATAAACATAAAGTATAGTAAGCGTCAGGGACTTTCTAGATCGCTACAAGTAACCGACACTTTTTTTCTAGCATCTTTAACGATATGAGTTTCAACTGAAGTCTGGGGTGAACTTAAATTCACGATTCAAAACCTATAAAAGGGAATCCAGAACGTCAGACATCTTGAAACTGTAGCTATGTTCAAAAGAGAATAAAATCTGTTTTGCACTTATTCAATGATATGGACTCAGAGAGTGCTCTAAAAAGAAAAATGGCAACACAAATACTGTTGACGTAAGTATGGATCTAAAATCTCTCTCCCCCTAGCTAGTGGCTTAAATATTAGGAGGTATAAAATAATCATTATTACCTCCCCAAATAGTTCTTCCAATCTAAAAAAAAAATGAATCCACCTGTCTTCACCCCAGCTATGGGTTAATTAACATGGTTCATTTTGTTTTACGGTATATCAACCTCAATGGGAAAAGCAATGGATAGCGACCCGGATTGAGGAATCGGAGAGCCGAGTTCGAATTCCAGTCGAATCCATTACATTCACTTACTTGCTAATACCCTTGGGAAAGGTATGAATCCTCTTCTTCTCCCCCAGCTATATGTAAATAGCAGGACAGACCGGGACCTATAGCCTTGGATGGCAACTGGTCTACCGAAGAAAGAAATGGCAACCTACTGCGGGGAAAAAACTCCTCGTCAGTCATGTGTCGAAAGATACATGATCGCCTAAGCGTGTATCGCACATGGCACATAACTGATTAATTTAGAGTGGCTAACAGAGAAACGGTTTATTCATTTCAACTTTTGTCTTTTAAGATGTATATATGGTCAATGAAGATGGAGAGCCGAGTTCGAATTCCAGTCGAATCCATTACATTTACTTACGTGCTAATACCCTTGGGAAAGGTATGAATCCTTTTCTTCTCCCCCCCCCCGCAGCGATGGGTAAATAGGACAGACCTGGTTTTATAGCCTTGGATGGCAACTGGTCTACCGCAGAAAGGAATGGCTACCTACTGAAGGAAAAAGTCTGCCTCTTCAGTCATGTATCGAGAGATACATGATCGCTTAAGCTTGTATCATTGATGGCACATAACTGACTGAACATCAACAAGATTTTGATTGCTGTTAATTTTTTTTTTCGAAAATATATTGCTGCTAATATTTTTTTTTTTTTTTCAAAAATGAATTGCTGGTAATAATTTTTCAAAAGATTTATTGCTAGTATTAAAATCTATTTTTACACTTTCATAGTATTTTACCCTATTTTGTGGGTTAACTATTTCCCCATAGCTGAGACGTGCTACCACCCCAGGTCAGGTTGGATCTGGGAACACCAGCAATTAAGAAGCGATTCCACGCTCCGCTAAACCTTCTGATCCGTGACCTTGCTGCTGGATGTAGTTCATCGTCATACTCAGGATAGAGTTGATTAGTTGAATTTATATCAGTCAATCAGTATTATCTCCCGAAATTCTCGTAATGTAAAAATATTTTCTGGCTTTAAATTACCTGCAAAAGGTTGATAAGTCGTAAAAAATGAGACATATCAAACAATCAATATCTTGTGGATATTTAATAGTCAGTACTGGTTTCGAACCTCAGTAAATTCTCAATAATTCTGGCGTTTTTTGTTTTTTTGTTTTCCAAAATGCATACCAAATAAGCTGATGTAGCTGTATCCATCAGTGGCTACGTAGTGCAGGGTTAAAAGCTGAAACCGAAGATTTTATTCTAGCTGTACAGGACCAATGAATGCTAAATAGAAATTATCAAGCAGACATTCTGAAAAATCGTGTTTGCCCAAAATGCAGATTCTGTGATAAATATCCAGAAACAAATCTCCATTTTGTATCATGTTGCACAGTGTTAGCACCCGCTGAATATAAACCTAATCTGATAGAGTGCGCCAATATCTTCACAGGGAAATATGAAACTTTAACGGTATGACCATCACCCAGACCCAGTAACAGATATAGGACCTATAAGAATTTTATGGGACTTTACAATACACACAGACAGAACAATCAAATCTAATGGAACAGACATCGTGATCAGAGACCACAAAAAACAAAAATGGCTGACAATGAATATCCTGTTTCATACGACAGATATTAGTGTCGAAGACATGATCTTAACCATGTAGACTTCATGTAGCATAGACAGACGTCAATGTTTTCGAATATTCTCATCACAATCAAAAATAAAAATACGAAAATAATTGCAGTCATTGCAAAATGCTGTGAAATGACAAAGTAAGGAAAGTTTGAGGAAATTACTACTAATAATAATTCTACTACTACTACTATTAATAATAATAATAATAATAATAATAATAACTAGCAGTATTTGTGTAAATTAAATGGATTTACTAATAAATTCTTTAATGTTGCTATCTGCTTGTTCTAACCTATGACCTTTGCTAGGGAGTTATAAGAAAAGTGATATAATCTCTGAAAAATACTGAACTGTTCGGAACTGATCGTTAGATCCCAAAACAGGATTTAAACACTCACTACAAAGGACTGACTTTATTGAAGATGACCTCCTCGACTAATCCCACTCTGTGTTGCACTCTTTTTTGTCTCTCTATATCCCCCTCTCTCTCTTTTTCAGTTTTATTCTCTGTATGCCTCTCTCTCCTTTTGTTAGCACCCACTGAATATAGAGTTCAGCAAGATAGAATGGACCAATATCTGAATTAGAAAATATGCAATTTTTACGTAAAGGAAACTGCAAGAAATTGGTATGAACACCAACCTTACCCTGTTATGGAAATAGGACCTTTAAGAATTTTATGGGACTTTAAAATACACACAGACAGAACAATCAAATCTAATGGAAGTGACATCGTGATCAAAGACTCCAAGAACAGAATATACTTTCTTATCGACAAAGCAGTCCCTACAGATTGTAATGTTATCTTTGAAGATCTTCAAGAATTTATTAAAATACTAGGATCTTGAAGTGGAAATCTTAAAAATGTAGCAGATGAAGACATCAATAATTCCAGATGTAATTGGAACCGTCGGGTTGATTGAAAAAGGTTCCGATAGATTCACTGAAGAGATTCCTGGTAGTCCATGTCTCAAAGAAATACAAGAAAATTGAACTCACAAATACAGGCTGTATGTACCAAGAGATTTAAGAGATTGAGGTTTAATCCAACTTAAATAATTAACAATAAAACTTCAACAATCGGATTGGAAACTGTTATAGTGGAACACCCCTATTCTATAGTTAATAGACTCTCCCACCTATAATAAGTAGGAGGAGTAGTAGCAGCCGCGGAGTGACTCAGGAAGTTGGTCAGTCAGTCGATGTAGGACGACCGATAGTTGGATACTAAAAGTATCAGCGACCACCACTAGATTCATTACCTATTATATCAAGTTCCTAACGTTTTGTACGTCGAACCTATTTTAGGACCGACTTAGTGAAATACAAGCCTCCACTGTGAAACTACTCTACAACAGAAACATACCTCACAAAAGCAAATAGTAAAGCACCAAATCCACTCCATCAACAAAAGATGCATACTTCAAGAAACAGCTTAATATACCTGAAATGCCACCAACAAAAAAATTAAGATAATGCCATCTTTGCCAAACGAGTAAAAGACACAGCAAAACAACTTGGCCTAATGAAATTACAACAAAACTGGTAGAACAAGGCGTTACATGGCAAATACATAAAAAAAAACGAAAGAAGCAGAGGTTGGCCAACAGAAAACACGTCAGTGGCTGAGGAGCACCGGGCTGAAAGCTTAGACAGAAAGCCTAATTATTGCAGCTCAGGACCAAAGCCTCGCAACCAGATCCTGTCACTGTCAAGGATGGAACTAACCCGAAATGCAGGATCTACGGAAAATAGGATGAAAATCTCAACCATATTATCTCAGGATGTGCGGAACTGGCAAAACAGGAATATACCCAGAGACATAATATATGTGCACTAGAATATATGCATGAAGCAGAAATTCGAAACCACTGAGAGATGGTATGACCACCAGCCACAGTTACCTAGCATTGTTACAATTTTTGGATAGATTATGTACTAGTGAGTTAGCCCAAATGACTTGATTCACTTTATAGTTCACCAATAGAAGGTTAACCAATCAGAAGACGTAGAACATTCAATCCGTCGTGTATAAAGGCGGCCATTTTTGTTCACTCTACCCGAATGTCCAGTCCAGCTTGTCAGGCGAAGAGAAACAGAAGGACGAATATTCACTTCTAACCTCTGGATTCTATACTCGAAGACGACCGTCATCATGAACAACAAGCATGTAATTATCTTCTGGGACATGCTAATTCAAACTGACAGGGAAATAAAAGCCAACAGACCTGATAAAAGACAAGAAATACAGGAAGTGTATGCCTATTGACATAGCAGTACCATGTGAGAGAAACATCTCCATGAAAATTATCGAGAAATTGTCCAAATGCAAGGATCTGGAGACGTGAGGAATGAAGACTGAGACTGTACCAATAGTAATCGGAGCACTGGGCCTCGTGAGAAAAGGAATGGACAATTTTATTGTGTCCCACGTAACATCAACATACAGGTTGCCAAGAAGGTCGCCCTACTAGGAACATCTCATACACTAAGAAAAGTGCTATCGATTAAATGACAATTCTCCTATAGGGCCTAAGGACAATAGTTTGGACCCAGCTCTACAAGATACAAATCAGGAAACATAACATACACAAATAATAATGACGATATTAATAATAATAAAATTATTATAATACTTATGATAATAATTGTAATGATAATAATAATTATTATAATAAAGTTTGGGAGTCTCCATTACTTTTTGTTCGATGCCATTTTTTTATTTATTTATTTATTCTGCTAAACTTTGGGAAAAGTTTGAAGAATATGCCTTTGTTCGAACAATGATAATAATAATCAACATAAAAGATTTTTTTTAAATTATTCTTAACATCGATAAATAATAATAATAATAATAATAATAATAATAATAATAATAATTAATCCAACTATTCTTTTAAGTTCTACAGTGAATGGCTGCAATGAAGTTGCACTTATACAAGAAGAAAATTGTTGGTTCGTTGTTAGCTTGGCATCTGACGAGGTGGCGGGGGGATCGCAAAAGGAAACAGTGATGTAATATTTAACAATTCCCTGATTACACAAAAGAGATGACATAAGGTAATGGATAAAAGTACAATGGAGAGGAGAATAGGGAAAAGGGGGTTAAATAAAGGGATGGGGAGCATAGTGGCGGTGTGGGTTGAATGTAAAAAGCGAAATGAAACGGAAAGGAGGAAAAGAAGAAACATCAAAGGGTTAAGAAAAAGCCAGAGACTACGAAGGCGGAATGAACCTTTTAGAGTGGCTAAAAAAAGATAAGAGAAAAAGAAGAAAAAATAGACAAAGAAAGAAAGAAAGAAAGAAAGAAAGAAAGAAAGAAAGAAAGAAAGAAAAGCAAAAGAGTGAGAAAAGGAAAGAAAGACAAGCATGAAATAGCTGGTCAAAGAAAGAAAGAAAGAAAGAAAGAAAGAAAGAAAGAAAGAAAGAAAGACATATAAGGTCTAAGAAAGAAAGAAAGAAAGAAAGAAAGAAAGAAAGAAAGAAAGACATATAAGGTCTAAAAAAGAAAGAAAGAAAGAAAGAAAGAAAGAAAGAAAGACATATAAGGTCAAAGAAAGAAAGAAATATAAGATCAACGAAAGAAATATAAGGTCAAAGAAAGAAAGAAAGACAGAAAGAAAGAATGAAAGAAAGAAAATGAAAGAAATATAGGGTCAAAAAAGAAATATATGGTGAAAGAAAGAAAGAAAAAGAAAGACATATAAGGTCAAAGAAAGAAAAAAAAAGAAAAAAAAATATAATATCAACGAAAAAATATAAGATCAACGAAAGAAAGAAAGAAAGAAAATGAAAGAAATATAGGGTCAAAAAAGAAATATATGGTGAAAGAAAGAAAGAAAGAAAGACATATAAGGTCAAAGAAAGAAAGAAAGAAAGAAAGAAAGAAAGAAATATAATATCAACGAAAGAAATATAAGATCAACGAAAGAAAGAAAGAAAGAAAATGAAAGAAATATAGGGTCAAAAAAGAAATATATGGTGAAAGAATAAAGAAAGAAAGAAAGAAAGAAAGAAAGAAAGAAATATATGGTCAAAGAAAGAAAGAAAGAATGGAAAAAGAAAAACTAAAGAAGCAAAAAGAGGAACAAAGAGTAAAAAAGAAAGAAAGAGTGATCGAAAGAAAAAGGAAAAGCAAAAAGGTCAAAGAAAGAAAGAAAGAAACTTGTTTCATAAACATGATAAAAACTGAAAACAAATTACAAATTGAAATAAAACTCAAATAAAATTAATTAGTCCACCTTCTCTTTTTTTCCCCCTAAATATTCCCTTTGTTTTCCGTTTTCCACAAAATACATTTTCATGAAGCTCAATGTTTTGCTTTATTTGATTTCTTTTGCAAAACGTCGCATATTTTATTGTTGGCAGATATTTCTTCTCAAGTTTGTTTTGAAATTTTCCAAGACTGCTTTTATTTTTACGCCACCACACTTCAAATTCCGTAAGGCTGAGAAAGGGGGAGAAATCGCGAACACTTTTTACCCCTTCTCAAGTTCACACTTGGCGCACTATAGTTTACTATAGTGGCGTTAAATGTCACACAGAAGACATTGATTATAAAGACCTTAATAGAAGCCATTGTTTCTGAATTTTCATTTTTTTTTTTTTTTTACTGTAATCACCCAAAACGATGTTCGTCTGTTTTCTTCAGTTATGCGTTGGCGGTTTAAGAAGCAAGTGTAACTGTTATTGTTTGTTTCTTCTCTAATTTGTTCTGTTCTCGGGGTGTACGCAAGTGAAGAAGAAGTGTTGACAATAAAACTTTCTTACATTTTGCAGTGGAACGATTCCCGGCGCCATTGTGATCCTTTCGTTATTTCGCCCTTATTCTGAAATTTTGCAAACTATTTTCTTTTCGTTTTTTTTCTCCTGCGCTTTTGTTTGACACTCCATTCAATTTTTCTCTTCGATTTATTTGCATTCTTCCAATGTATTCGTTATTCTTCCCTTTTTATTCTTGAAGGGGCGGTAATTAACTGCATTTGTTGCCGGCTGCGATACCAGCGTAAATGGTTGTCGGGGGCTTACTGATATATGCAAGCACAAGAGGAAGGCATATTCCGAAAATTTCTTCAGACGTTCTCAGCTAATTTTAGAAACGGTCTTCACGCGTATTACCACGTGAATCCTCTAAAAGTACCAATGGACTTACAACATTTCAGGCAGATAGATAGATAGATAGATAGATAGATAGATAAATAGATATTTTACAAGCATAGATAGATAGATAGATAGATAGATAGATAGATAGATAGATAGATAGATATTTTACAAGATAGATAGATAGATAGATAGATGAATAGATAGATAGATATAGATGTTTTACAAGCATAGATGGATGATAGATGAATAGATAGATAGATAGATGAATGGATGGGGTACAAGCTTTGATAGATAGATAGATATGATAGATAGATGAATGGATGTTTTACAAGAACAGATAGATGAATAGATGGATGAATAGATAGATAGATGAGATAGATATTTTACAAGCATAGATAGATAAATAGATAGATGTTTTACAAGCATAGATAGATGGATGAATGGATGGATGAATAGATAGATGGATAGATGAATGGATAGATGGATGGGGGCACATAGCTTAGATGAATGATAGATAGATTGATAGATAGAATATATTTGGTACAAGCTAAGATAGATGCTTGAATGGACTTAAACTTTTCAGATAGATAGATAGATAGATAGATATTTTACAAGGATAGATAGATAGATAGATAGATAGATAGATAGATATGGTACAAGCTAAGATAGATGCTTTAATGGACTTAAACATTTCAGGGAGATAGATAGATAGATAGATAGATAGATAGATAGATAGATAGATATGAAGGACACAGAGCGGTTCTCTTTCGAAACGAGTCAGTAGTGGTGTTTGGCAGCCATCTTGGAGATTTGGCATCCTATTATTTTAAGGCATGTTGTGTTCATCCTCTGACATGAAATGCAACCGAAAGTAAAGTAATCCGAAATCATAATTCGCTTTAACTCATCCTGGCCAGTTTCCTGTCGATGGCATAAATCCCGTCATCTCTGGTCGATGCACTACAAAGTGGAGCAAAGCTCACACTTAGCAAAAATGAATCTTTCAATTCTGCAGGGAAAAGTGGCAGGACGAAAATCTGGACGAGTTCCTGGAAAACCGTCACGAAATGCACCTTAGTGCGGTTTAATAATTGACAAGCTTATCTTATGAATCCCTGTTTTCGTAAGATCACCGAGGAACATCGAGCCTTTTCAGTACCTAGATCACTGGTACTTGGGAATAACAGATGTTGTAAGCTTGAGTGTGCGGGTGGTGCAATATATAACGACTCGCAATTGAAAATCAGAGAGCAAAGTTCCAATTACAGTCGAGTTCGTTATTGTCATAGAGGAATAAAATGTCGCTGTCGGTTTTGAATACGGATCGCCAGAGTGCAAACACAGTCGACCTCATCTTGAAATAATTATCAGGTCATCCCATAAGTTCTGTCCGAATTTTGAATAAAGAAAACAAGTGACCAAATGTTACATTTAATTACAGATTCAATCAACAATGTATTTTCCCTGATTATCTATGACTTCCTTCAATCTATTAACAAGCCTACTAATTCCATTACTGTAAAATTCTTTAGGCTTTGATTCGGAGAACTCACAAATGTCAGTTTTAACCTCTTCCTGTGTTACAAAAGCTGTTTCTTCCAAATGATTCTGTAAGCTACGAAACAAATGGTAGTCTGAAGGAGCAAGATCGGGAGAATAAGGTGGATGAGGAATTTTCTCCCAACCAAGTTCTTCGATCTTTTGTGACGTGATTCTTGCTGTGTGAGGTCGCGCATTGTCCTGATAAAAGATCACCTCTTTTCGTTTCACTAGAGCAGGTCTTTTTTTCCTCAAAGCTTGGTTCAAACACTCTAATTGCTGACAGTATATTTGAGTATTAATTCTTGCATTAGGTGGTAAGAATTCAAAGTGGATCCTTGGCGATCCCACCAGATTGAAAGAAGAACCTTTTGCCCATGAAGTTCCCTTCTTGGCTGTGGCTGGGGTCCTTCACCTTTACCAAGCCACTGTCTACGACGCTTAACATTTCAATAAAAGATCCATTTTTCCTTGCCAGTCACAAGCATATCCAAAAAAAGGTGAAACAAGTTTGCGAGAATGGAGAGAAGAGCAGATGTCAACTCGAGATTTGAGGTTGTTTTCAGACAATTCATGAGGCACCCATTTTCCAAGTTTAGGAACTTTTCCAAGTTGTTGAAGATGACGATAAACAGTTGTATGGTTTGAACTGAGAACCACTGCCAATTCCTCAACTGATAAAGCAGGATTTTCTTCAAGGGCTGCTTCAAGAAGCTTTTCATCAAACTCAGCTGGACGTCCGGTTCGATCTTCATTTTCAAGGGTGAAATCTCCACCTCTGAATTTTACAAACCATCTTCTGCAAGTTCTTTCATTCACACATTTCTCTCCATAAACTGAGTGAATGTTTCTAGCCGCTTCGGCTGCTGAGTTTCCTTTTTTGAACTCATAAAGCATTATGTGCCTCAAATGATTCCTGGATACTTCCATGTTAGCAGGGTTTAATCAAACAAAATTTAATTTTATTGTTCTCTGAAATAAAATTTGATCAGTTTAAATGCATGTAGACATAAAAATAATGTTCAGCTCCATTAGACATTATAAAATACTCTTTAAATTTTGTTCATTCTAACAAAAAAGGTAAAATTCGGACAGAACTTATGGGATGACCTGATAGATCAAGTGACGGGTAAAGTATAAGTATATGTATGGGAATTAGCGGCGGCTGACGGAGTTTTCTTCGAAGGCGATACTGTTATTGCATCTGGGATTTACAAAGTCTCTTCTAGAAACTGGAATTACAAAAGGAAAAGTATAAATCCACCTCTTCTCACTCCAGCTATGGGTTAATTAGAAGGAATTAGTAACTCATTATTATCCCCTAGAAACTATTACAATCTAAAAATTTATTCTGGCTTTAAATATTGCTGTCATATTGTTTGATGATTCTAAAGGTCCACCTCAGGAAGAAGAAGTGATGGATACAATATTCGACACATTTGGCATGCAAAGGCCGCAAACAATGTCTGAATCACGAAAATCGACCAGGAAAAAGAAAAGTCACAGAGCCTTTGATAATAAATCCAAAGAGGAAAAAATGCTAAAGACCCCTGCGACGCAAAAGCTTTAGAAGGTGGGGTTTATGGGAACTTACCTATAACGATAATGGACTCTTCCTGACACTATAAATACTGCGCCTCTCAAGAGGTATAATGAATGAACGGTGAAACCAACACCAGGTCATGACTGTTGAACTCTCTGCTTTGGCAGAGAGGAACCCGGACGAAGCTTTACCGAAGGGCAAGGTTTCGTCCGGGGAGATAGACAGGCCCTGAACCCATCTAGGCGGTTTCAAAGGTATATTTTTGGCCGATCCTACGGGCTCGGGAAACCCACGTTAAACTCGGCCT